CCGGGCTGCCCCCGGCCGGGCCCGGAGCCCGGGCTCCGCAGAAGTACTGGCTGTAGAACGAGGCGGTTGAGGGTGTGGCCCCGGAGTCGGGCATACCTGAGTACGAGTGTCACCTCCGTGCGTCCTCCCGGTGGCTCTCACCATCCTCAGACTCAGTGTCCCCATCTGTGGCTCGGGGGCAGTAATAGCGCGCACTTATTAGAGTTATTGCGCCACATAAATAAGAGAATGGGGTCCCTGTTGCGGAGGCTGGGAATCGGACCTGGCCTGGGGCACGAAAGGGCTCAGCGGCTCCAACTCCCACCGCCCAGGTGGAAGCTGATCTGTGAGCAAACCCAGCCCCTCCTCACTCCTCAACCTCGGGGCTCCCAACCCCTCCCCTCGTCCACCGCTCAGGCTTCCTGGTGAGGTGATTTCTTCCCTTGCAGGTTTGGCCTTGACTGGACGTCAAGCTGGTTCCACCAGCGTGAAGGGAAGGGGCGGGCAGGTATCAGGAGGTTCCTGCTGGAACCCTTCCCCTAGGTTTCTCCCCACTCTCAACCTCCCCTTGGCTCCAGGCTGGCCACCTTCCTGTCACCACCCCTCCCTGGGCTGCTGAGATTGGGGAGTCGAACTCACCCTGGGGCTTCTTCCCTCCTTCCAGCCTGCCGGTGTGGCCCCTGGGGATTTCCTTGCAATCTGATTAAAAGGCTTGATTCTTCCAACCACTCTCTGGAGTTCTGCCCAGCTGTGAGGCTGAGGGCTCTGGTTGGAGACTTGCCTCCTCAGACTGGACTGTAACGAACACCCCGGACAGGGTGCTGAGGCCAGAGGGGATTCAGTTATTCAGTGACACCCGAAACCTGGCAGGTCCTACCTGTCACCACTATCCACGATAGTGATGACGAAAATAAACTCGGATAGTGAGTGTAGTTGAATACACCTCCATAAAGTATAGACACTTTGCAAGTTTCAAAGCACTTAAATATTCACCATCTGATTCCATCCAGAGCAAGCCCCTTTGAAGTGGTGGTCCTACCAACATTTTATAGATGAGGAAACTGGGGCCCAGAATGGACAGTAAATTCTCCCAGGTTTCTACTGTTCAGGGGTCGACTAGGGCAGTCATTGACCAGAGGAAACCACCTCTTTGCTTCAGTGGTTGGAGGGAGGAAGTGACATTAATGGGAGTGAGAACTTAGTGAAAACCTTTTTTAAAAGTTGCCATCAGGCCTGAATTTGAGTGGTGGAAAGGGCGAAGGCTGGGGCAGGGTGGCAGCCTGATGCTTGTTTTGGAATATATTTTGCCTGGGACTCCTTCCCTGAACCCTCCCGAGGCCCTAGGTATATTCATTTTCTTTGCCTGGAGAGAGGGGTTTCTTGCCCTTTCTTCTTCCAATTTTGTTAGATTTTTCTTCTATTCCTCCAGCCAGCAAAGAAATTTCACTCCAGGGCAAGATTATTCCTGAAGTGGGCAAAATTACCACCAGTCCAAACAACTTTTCACTTACCTTCTGGGTTCCTGTCCCTGTAGCTTTTCAGAAGCTAGTCTCCATTCCCTTAGGCCTGTGGTGTATGGTGATCACAGCTTCCTCCTAGAAGAGGTCGCTGAGTTCCCTTCTGGAAGATGGAACTGAGGCAATCAATGCTCTTAGGGGAAAGAGTGGAAGGGCTGCTGCTTGGAAGGGTTCCCACTGTTATGTGGAGAAATGGAGAGGGAAAGCAGGGGTCTGGCTATATCTCTTGGGCAAGATCCTTCTCTGTGGGCCTCAGTTGCATCTCTAAAACTCTCCCCTGCTCTCATGGGTGATGCTCACAGCTTAGGAGCTGTAAACTGCTAAACTTCAGTTGTCAAGGAGATGGGTTTCATTCATTCAACAGATATTTATTCAGGGCCTCCTCTGTGTAGGAACTCTCTTCTAGGTAGTTGGGCATAGAAAATAAGTCAAAGTCATGGTGCTTATAGTGCCTATTACCTTGGGACTTGCCCAAGGAGACATGGCCAGTGGTGGGGGGAAAGATACAAAAAGTTAAACAAACATTATGCAGTCAGAGAACGATAGTACAAAGGAGAAAAGTAAGCAAAGTAAGGGAATGGAGATGTGGATCGTCAGGGAAGGCTTCTGAAAAAGTGACATGTCAGGAAGCAAGACAGAGAGATATATGGGTGAAGACAGCTAGAGACAGAAGAAACAACAGGTGCAAAGGCACTGAGGTCAGGACAAATTTGGCGTGTCTATGGAACAGACAGAAGGCCAGTGTAGAGAGTGGTAGGCGGTAGCATTGGGGAGATTACACAGAGTCACGTAAGGTAGGGCCTTGTTGGCTGAGATAAGAAGCTTAATCTCATCTTACTGTGGGTGTATTGGAAAGTCATTGGAGAGTTCTGAGCAGGGACAGTGAGTGACCTGATCTGATTTCCTTACAAACCGTGGCCGTGTCTAACTTGGGGGTTCAAGAATGGAAGCCCAGTTAGGAGACTGTATCAGTGGTTCCTGTGAGAGACAATGGTGATCTCGGTAGAATGGCAGGAGTGGAGGTGACCAGAAGTGGCCAGAGGAAAGAGAGAGAGAGAGACTTTGGAGATGGGGCTGGTAGGACTCATTGATGGATTAGATGTGAGGTTGCAGGTTTTTTATTTTTATTTTTTCTGGGTAATAAGGTTGATGACTGATGGTGCTGTTTAATAAGTGGGGGTGGGGATACTGCAGTTTGAGAAGCCATGTTCTTCTACTTGGGTGCATGTGTAAAGAGTCAGATACCTGGGGATGAAGAAAGATTGAGATTGTATGCAGGAAAGTGATTATAATAATGGGCAGATGAGATTTCAGGATAAAGAGAGAAACAAGGCCACAATAAGAGGTGATGGACAGTGAAGAGGTAAGACAGCTCCAACTGAGCTGAAGAAATTGTTGGAATGGAAATTCTAGAGTTAGTGATCTAGAAGGATGGGAAGTGGTAGGCAGGGGATGGGATATTTGAGATGAAGATTTTGGAGGCGGTATAGCTTTCCATAATGGTGAGATCTGGGATATAACCAGGGGAGTGGGTGGCAGAGGAGGGGTAAAAAGAAAAACAAATCAATGGAATGGAATGAATGGATCAACATGGATCAAGATGCCATGGGTGTTGTTTGTGTTGCAGAACAAGATTGTGGACCAGTGTGAGAGACTGCAGTTACAGAGTGCTGGCATCACCAAGTACATGGCTGAGGTCCTACCAGGGAAGAACCAGAGAGCAGTGGTAGGTAATTCTTCCCTTTCCCCCTCTACTCTGGGCCCTCTCCTAGGGTAAGACCCCAGCCTTAGGGGCTTGAGCCAGGCTAGGGGCCCTTCCTAACCTCACTAAGTCATTGTGCTGTAGCACAAAGCTGGATGCCCAGGAAGGATGGTTTCTTCTCTCTCTGAGCCTCGGTTTTACCATCTGGGCAGAGTTGCACACTAGTGCAAAGACTGTTTTCAGGGGAAGGGATCAGGGAGGGTAGCATTTTCCTAACATCTAATTATTTTGTGCACAGCCCCAGAATTACAAATAACCTAGGGGCTTGTATGTTGGATATTCTTTATCATCGTCCTATGCAGTAGGTGGCAGTAACATCCCTATTTACCAGACGGTTAATGGACTGGACCAAGGTCCCACATCCTCCTGCCAGAGTCAGTTCTATGACCTGGATCTTCTGACTCTGCAGCCAGTGCTCCTTCTGCTGCACCGCGCTGCTGGTCCTTGTGACTCGTTGCCACACCTACATCTCTCAAGTATGCTTTTCAAGGGCAGGGGCTATGAATTTCTTCCTCCCTCTTATTCCCCCTTAGTAGTACATGAAAATGGACCATTGGATTTAGTAACATGCACAGTATTGAAGATCCTGACAAGAGGAATTTTGTAGAGTGGTGGGGTGAGAGCCTGATTGGAGTGGGTTTCAGAGAGCAATTTGGGATAGTTAATACAGGTAACTCTTGAGCGTTGCCGTAGAAGGGAGCTGACAAATTGGATGATCCTGGAGAGAGATAAGGGATCAATGCAGTTTTTTGTTTATTTTCTTTTTAAGATGGGAGAAGTTGCTTTATGTGTGTATGCTGATGGGAATTTCCCAGTAGAAAGGGGAAAATTAATGATGCAAGAGAAAGAGGAAATTTGGGTATAGCAAAGAGGGGTGGGATCTAGTAAGCAAGTGGAAAGGTTGGTTGTAGGTAAAAGCATGGGCAGTTCATTCACAGAAACAGAGAAGGCAGAGTGAGCACAGGTGCAGGTAGATGGTTAGGTGATGGGAAGACCTTGTGGAAGTTCTCTTCTGATTGCTTCTATTTTCCATTACTTACCACCTTTCCTGTAGGCTCTTAAAGATGCCATTTGTCAGTTTATAGATATGTTTTGTTCTCCATCATCTGTTTATATGGTAAAACATTAATAGAGTTTCTAACGCTAAGCCATCCTTGAATTCCTGGGGAAAACCAACGTAACTTGATCATAATATATATATTTTTTAACTTTTAATTTTGAGATCACTATAGATTCACATACAATGTTAACATTTTTCCTAACTATGGTAGAATATCATAACCTGAAAATTGACATTAATACAGCTCACCTTTTCAGATTTTACCAGTTTTACACCAATTCATTTCTGTGTGTGACTTTAATTCTATGCAGTTGTATCACATCTATAGATTCATGTGACTTCCACCACAATTGAGATACAGAACAGTTCCATCATAAGGATCCCTTAGTATAGCTTTCTAAAAAGCATTTTTGCACCTATGCTCAGGAGTGAGACTAGCCTATGAGTTTCATTTCTTGTATAGTCCTTATCAGATTTTGTGATCGAGATTATATAATCCTTATTCAATGGGTTGGGAAACAGAACTCTCTATTTTCACTGGAGGAGCTTATATAAGATTGGAATTATCTGTGCCTTGAATGTTTGGTGACACCCTCTGTAAAACTATCAGGGCCTGGTGGTATTTTGTTGGTAGATTTTTAACTACTGATTCATTTTCCATCATAACTACAGGCTTTTTCCTGTTCTGGTTTCTTTTTCTTTGGTTTTAGTAAATTCTTTCTGGAAAAATTATCCACTTTCTCTGTTGTTGAATTTAAATGCATAAAATTATTCTTAATATTGATCAAGTTGTCACAGGTTTGTCTATCATGTTAGTCTTCAAAGAACCAACTTTTAGTATTTTAATTCTCTCTTTTATCTCTTTTTAAAAAATATATTGCCCAGCTGGCGTGGCTCAGTGGTTGAGTGTTGACCTATAAACCAAGAGGTCAGGGTTCGATTCCTGGTCAAGGCACGTGCCCAGGTTTCGGGCTCAATCCTCAGTAGGGGGTGTGCAGGAGGCAGCCGATCAATGATTATCTCTCATCATTGATGTTTCTGTCTCTCTCTCCCTCTCCCTTCCTTTCTGAAATCAATACAAATATATAAAAAATAAAAATATTATATCCTT